AGATATGTGATAACGATCCCCATGTCCTCTTCTCCTTCCGACTCTTACGCACCTTCCTCCTGATCCTATCTGGTTGAACTTCCGTAGTTCAGTCGTCTTCCTGTAGCTCTTTGTAGACCTCTTCTCACCTTATTATTCCCACTAATTTTGTGTCATCCGCCAACGTTAATGTATAGGGATCTACTTCACCCGCTAATCGTTTACATACATCAAGAACAGCATAGGGCCAAGAACTAGACCTTGTGGTACTCCACTTGAAACGTCTCTCCATCCTGACACCTCTCACTGTGACACTCCGCCTTCTGTTAGGTATTTTGTTATCCATTCTCCCCCAGTTACTCCAGTTTGGGTTTCTAGTTTGTTTATTAATGTCCTGTAAAGGACCAGTTATTGTTGCAATGACAACAAAACAATGTCATCTCTTACCATTACCAATCACTGCTCCTCCTCCCCAGGTATGTATATCAAATAACATTAGATATCCAGCCCTTTCCTGTCTGATCCTTGCCATCCCGTCACATTTAGGCATGCAAGGCAACAAAAGATTATGATGGATTATGAAAGGGGAAAACCATCCTGTGTGATGGGTTATGACGGGGAAAAAAACCATCCTGTGTGATGGGCTATGACAGAGGAAAACCATCCTATGTGATGGACTGTGACAGGGTAAGCCATCCTGAGTGATGGATCATGACAGAAGAAAACCATCCTATGTGAGTGGCAGAGCATGATAAGGAAGGTAGTTTAAAATTATTCGAGAACAGACACTAACACTGATTCGAAAACGTCTGGGTTTTGGGACCCTGAGCTCCTCCGTCTGAGATGGTGATAAGAAAATCGCCTTGTGTGATGGAGCATGACAGAAAGTTTGGTCAGGTAGGTTCGTCAGGAAACAGGATAAATGTTTCCTGATGTGGGTCTTTAAAAGTTATGGATATAGCCATTCCTTGAAGTATGACAGAAAAAGTATCCTGTATGATGTATGACGATAAAAGAATCCTTTGTAGCGGTCTACGTCTGGAAAAAACCATCCCGCATTAAGGCTGTTCTAGGTTAAAATAGTTCTTGATCTGAACTTGCAAAATGTCACCCAGATCAGGGTAACCACACGATGTGGTGTATCAGTTTTGACAAAATTACTATAGTGACCCCCGCCACAGATGGTCTATGATGGATGAGGTGGGAATGAGGGACAAGCACGAAGGAATGAAGGAATGGTTGGGAAGGGTGAGGTAGGGTAGATGATGCCCTGCCCTGCCCTCGCCCGCCCGCCTATTCAAATGTCATCCTATTGTGCCATTGTCACCCCTTATACATTGTCACCCCCTCACCACCACTCCCTCATCACCCCAAGCCTCACCCCTCACCCTCGTCCATGTTTGGCTCAAGCATGTTAATGGGTGCACCAGCGTGGGTTTGTAGCCTCACGCGCCCTCCCTCCTCCCTACTTTATCACTTGTATTATTTATTATCATATACACCTCGCTTTTAGCCCGATTCTCCGCTGTGTGTTTACCATTTGTCTTCGTCACGCGGAGTCTAGACGCCAGACTTGCATGTAGACTGTTCGCTTGTGCTTTACTTATTCGTCACTTGTAAGTGTAGTGCTTGCTTGTGCTTTCCTTGTGGGTTACTGTAAAAGTAAATGTACTGCTTCCTTGTGCTCTTGTGCTTCTCAGCATTGTTTACCGTACGTCGTGATCATTTATTCTCCGACTCTTCCAGTGACGTAAAGATCGGTACGTTCAACCTTCCCTCGTAACTCATCTAAGTCTGTTCCACAACCAATTTGGCAGCAAATCTGTGGACTTTTTCAAGTTCATTTGTGGCTGTACAGGTCAGGGCTTTACGCTGGTTCTGTATACTCTAGAGTCTAGAATTATTCTTATTTATATGGTGTTGTGCTACTATTCACTTTTTCAAAATTAACCCACGAAATGAAAATGGGAAATAAATGACATTTCCGTCAAAGTTTTACCATTATCAAGTCTTATTTCTATATTCATATTGTGGATTATGTGTGGATTGTTCCAGTCACATTATTTTGAATAATTTGAAGTGATTCCTCGTTTGGGTTCTTGTCGGCAGGTCTTAAATCTGTTATCCTTGCTGAAGTTATTGACAGAATTTCCCCACTATAATACGACCTATAACAAGTGACTAACTCTTAGCTATCTATTTACTGCTAGGTGAACAGGACCCGTATTTCTCACACCGTCCAGAATTGAACCCGGGTCCTCGCGGCTGTAAGAAAAAAGTCTGACTACTTGATATATTTATCTCCTACCTGGAACCTTGTCTCCGGCGTTCCCCTGCCGGGTCCCATCTTCATCAGGGTGATGCGCTTCTGCTCTGGTTTAGTACGCTGGCTATACTGTTCTGTTCTCACAGGAGACCATTTTTCCAGGGAGGTACCTTGATGTTGGTGAGGACCTCTTGAATCAAGAACCTTCCCTTGAATTCCTTTGATCGTACATGATTGCCTTCCATTACACAAGGCGCTATATGACCCCAACGGGTTTAATACTCCCTGATAATAATAATAATAATAATAATAATAATAATTAATAATGATAATCCTTTCAAGACTAGCGAGATATCCCAGCTAGAAAATATACATTTTTTATGCTTTTATAAAATCAGTAAAAATATTTGAACTCGATGGGAAATAACTTGATGAAGTCGGACACTGGAAGTATATAAGACATACCTAATAATGGTTATAATTATAACCATAATTTTCAAAGGAGTGGAGCGGTAAGCCAGAGGAAGGCCTCGGCCAGATGACCAAAAGCTCCAGCGGCGGGTCATCATGTGACTAAGACCCGCGTCAGGAACTATTTGTTCTGTTTCCTGATGTTACCTATCTACCTACTCAAAATATGGATATAACAATGTATATTTGGAAAAAAAACTGGGTCAGGTATCTAGACTGTTCACAAATAAGGACTTTTACCGGGGCAAAATACTGTCTTCTCTCCATTTAAACCCGTATAAATCTAGTGCCCTGTGGCCTGATCGCTAAAGCTCTCGCTTCACACGGCAAGGGTCTGCGTTCGATTCCCTACGAGGGTAGAAACATTGGGCGTATTTCTTTACACCGGTTGTCTATGCTCATCCATCAATAAAATGGGTACCTGGGAGTTAGTCGACTGGTGTGGGTCGCATCCTGGGACAAGGACCTAATTTGCGGGAAATGCTGAGCATAACAAGCGGCTTTCTATATAGTAGTATGTCACTGATGTCAGCTGTGGTCTGTATACCTTGTACATGTACTTGTAGTAAATAAAGATATTATTATTATTATTATTATTATTATTATTATTATTATTATTATTATATTGCTAGCTTCCACTCCCTTATCCTCCTGTTTTATGCGCCTCTTCGAGGGACTACCCCTCAAGGAAGGTTCCTTGACGTTGGTGAGGGGCTCTTGATTTAAGGAATTGGATCTGTGCTCCAGTTCCCCGAATTAAGCCTGAATGCCTTCCACATCCCCCCTCCAGGCGCTGTATAATCCTCCGGGTTTAGCGCTTCCCCCTTGATTATAATAATAATTCGAGGGACTATAGTAAGTGCATGTGAGTCCCTTATCTAAGTGCACAATTTTCGTTTTTTATTATATTCACTGGGATTTTTTTTTATTGAGGTCCCCACATTTTTTTTTCTTTATCCTCCTCCTAAATTTAGTTTCAAGGTGACAGTTTCGTTTTAAACCCGCTTCTTCTTCATTATGTTTCAACGGAACAGCTTGTAATGATTGTTTGAGTACCTGTGTCATGCATCTGACTGGTTGTTTGAGTACCTGTGTCATGCATCTGACTGGTTGTTTGAGTACCTGTGTCATGCATCTGACTGGTTGTTTGAGTACCTGTGTCATGCATCTGACTGGTTGTTTGAGTACCTGTGTCATGCATCTGACTGGTCGTTTGAGTACCTGTGTCATGCATGTGAATGGTCGTTTGAGTACCTGTGTCATGCATCTGACTGGTCGTTTGAGTACCTGTGTCATGCATGTGAATGGTCGTTTGAGTACCTGTGTCATGCATCTGACTGGTCGTTTGAGTACCTGTGTCATGCATCTGACTGGTCGTTTGAGTACCTGCCTCATGCATCTGACTGGTCGTTTGAGTACCTGTGTCATGCATCTGACTGATTGTTTGAGTACCTGTGTCATGTCTGATCGTTTGATTACCTGTGTCATACATCTGACTGATCGTCTGATTACCTGTGTCATGCATCTGACTGATCGTTTGAGTACCTATGTTATGCATCTGACTGATCGTTTGAGTACCTGTGCCATGCATCTTACTGATCGTCTGATTACCTGTGTCATGCATCTGACTGATCGTTTGAGTGCCTATGTCATGCATCTGACTGATCGTTTGAGTACCTGTGCCATGCATCTTACTGATCGTCTGATTACCTGTGTCATGCATCTGACTGATCGTTTGAGTACCTGTGACATGCATCTGACTGGTCGTTTGATTACCTGTGTCATACATATGACTGACCGCTTGATTACCTGTGCCATGCATCTTACTGATCGTCTGATTACCTGTGTCATGCATCTGACTGATCGTTTGAGTACCTGTGTCATGCATCTGACTGATCGTCTGAGTACCTGTGTCATGCATCTGACTAATCGTTTGAGTACCTGTGTCATACATCTGACTGGTTTCTCCGGCTCAAAGCCATGTTTTCCTAGCTGGCGACTGATCAACCTTGCTATTTCTGCCTGGCGGCAGCGGATCCACAGTTGTCACAAACCCGGTTCATTAGGCAACTGCAGAAATCTGTCTGATTTTCTTCCTAGAGAATCATACCTTTAATCTGACGATATATACTTTTTACATATGCTGGTAGGAGGCTGAAGAGAATGATGAACGTTGTGATTTTCAGGGATGACTTCATGCCTTTCCTGTTGTTAGTATACTAGTAGGATGATAATTATGTGGGATAATGAGTTAATGTGTGACTAACTTGTTGAATCTTTGCAGGAGCGGCAGTGTGAGAGCAGGAACAGTGGGTGATTTCTCGTCGGCAATGTGAAGATGCAGGTGGCCCCCGCCCCGGCCGGGGACTCACGGCCCCATACTACGCCGGACCTCTCCAGCAGTCCCGGGGTCCAGCCAGGGGCAGGAGCGCCGCCCCCAGCCAACACCACCACCACTACTGACACTACTTCCAACAGCGGTAGTGGCCGCGAGGGTGGTAGTGGGCGGTGGGCGGCGGCTGTTCTTCTTTTAACACATGTTGTAGAGCTCGCAGCTATGGTGGCTGCCACTCTCGCCTACGCTCTTCCTACCTACCTACCACCCGAGTCCGCCCACTCACCGCCCGAACCCAGCCCCTTGCCGCTGGATACGCATGCGCCTTCCGAGGTCACCCACACGCCTGAATTCCGGCAGGAGGGTAGGGTAGGTGAGTTGGGCAAGGCGTGTCTTCCTCTGCAGCTGGCAGTTGGTGGCGCACCGTTGGTAGTGATCACAGCGATCTCCTTGGTATGGGCGGTTCGGGCACAGGATTTCTCTGGCAGAGCAACGGCGCGCATGTTGTGTTGGCTTCTACACATCCTTCAGGCCTCCATTGTATGGCGCTTCCTCAAAATTCACCTCGCCTTCGACCCCAGTGATGTGGCCGAGTTGGGGACACTACGGTTTGTACAGGTGCATGTGCACACACTCCCCTTCTTAGTCTTACACGTGACCATGATGGTGGGGGAGGGTAGCGGTCCTGGGATAGTGGACATCTTGGTGGCCACAGCCATGGTTGTGTCGGTGGTGGTGACCATCGTGGTAGCTACCACAGCAAGTCACAGCTCTCGCCCATCCTCCCTCACCCCGCCCACCATCACTCAGGTGGCACATAACTCCATTCACGGACCATGCACGGAACACAGTCACGACGGGGCAGTGCGGGGCGTGGTTGCTCTTACTACCTCCTGCGTGGTGTGGAGCAGAGTGGTGGCTATTGCATTGCTCTTCTGCCTTCACGTCACCTGCGCCTGTGTACTGGTGGCAGTGCACTGGGTGGCGGCACTGGTCTGGCTCAGTCTGCAGCAAGAACTGGAGCCTACTACACTGGGTCCAGTCCGGAAGTACCTCCGTCGAGCATTCCTCGCCTATCTTCTGCTGTGGGACTGGCATGTTTTCCGTGACGACGCATCAGCCATGACAGTATGCGCACGTCCGCGCCTCCCTGCACTTTACTACACCATCACCGCCGTTCAGAATGTAGCGGTTACTGCTACTTGGTACACTGCTAGCAGAGCTATTATCGCTGTGGTCCGTACTACAACCCTCTCCTCTGTGTTGGCTGCTCAAGCTGTGGCACTGTTACTCTTGGCGCTCTCCTACCTCTACTGTTCCTCGCTCCTGCCCTCATGGCCTCGGGACAAGGCCTCCACTCTCGTCAGTCGAGCCTCGCTAGTCACACCCGTTGCTAAGTCTGCCACCCCACCAACTACTGACAAGCAGAATCGCAACAATTCCTACGTCGATTTTAAGGAAATCGAAGGCGAGGTACCTGAGGCTGATAAGAGCAAAAGAGACGATGAAGATCCTACCAGAGAAGTCGCCACGCCACTGAAGAATATAGTACCCAGGGCCCACTCCACACCTCGCTCGCCACTACCACTCGCCCCACGCCTTATGGCTGCCCACCTCCCACCAACTATGTTCAGCTTTTCCCATGACATCCTACCACCAAGACTGGCTAAATCAGAGCGTTCCTCCACTGACAATGGGTCTTTTAACTCGCGCAACACAAACACGCTGCCGACGCAGCTACCGCCGGAGTACGACCTTCTTCACCGAGCTCATGGGTCCTTCTCTGATAGCTTTAGTTCACTCTCCTGTGGTACCATCAACCGCACCACCGGTACTGTGAGAGCCGCAGCTACTCAGGACCACAGGACGCAGTGCACGCCTCCTTCTTCCACTAAGCTAACGTTCGCTTCACACTCTTCTTGCAGGAATGGATTTTGCCACTGTAAATTATTTGATGGCATGGAAGGCCCTTGTGATGTGAACGAAGAAGAAGAGGAGGAAGAACCTGATGAAAAACATCACAAGAAAGAAGCTATTGACAATGATTTAAAAACGGAAGGTGACTGTAGTGGAGGATTGGTAGCCGGTAATGACCAGCCAATGGAAGGCAGAGGCAACGGTGTCAACATACTGCCTGGTTCACCCGAGGTTGTACCGACCATGTGCGACTCTGCACCTCAAGTAGCAGTGGTACGAGGCATTCAGAGGTTCAGAGTAGTCTGTGCTGCGTGCCTCCACACTCATGACCCGCTACTCACACGCTGCCACGTCCATACCACGCCTCCCGAGGTACTCTTCACGCGGTGCCATGCGCATACCTCGCCTCCAGAAACCCTCCTTTCCCCTAGCTGCCACGGAGTATCACTTGTGCGGTGCCCCACAGCGGGGGGCACGCTCAGTCGTTCTTGTGTAGGCCTAGGCGGCGGCTCCAGCACCGATTACCCGTCGGACACAGAAGTGACAGCCACCGCCGACACATTAAGTTCCGCATCAGCCGACTCTCATTCCACCTACACCACCTGGCCCGTGGGTCGCGGACCGGGCATGGCCCGTCTTCTTCAGCTGCATCCAGGTTCTCATGACTACGTGACGGCGTGGCTGCGGCACCAACAAGCTCGTGGCCCCAGTGTGCCCCCTCCACCTCCTCCTCAGGTAGTCCACGAGTCCTCCGCCAGTCCGGAGCCTCCCACCCGCCGCCAGCGTCGGCCTCGGCGCCACCTGCCTCGCGCCTCACGTCACAAGGACGCCCCGCTGCCACACCTCCTTCAGGATCTTGAGACCGTGGTGTGAGCGTCGGATCCACACAAGCGTTGCTTCTACACCTTTGTGCTAGGCGCTTGTGTCGTAACGAGAGATATTAGTTTGTTCATCGGTATATACAGCCAGACACGGGTCTTATATATACTCAGCCTTTCAGAAGTGCCGTACCTACCATGGGGTGCTGCAAGACGTAGTGTCTAAGGACACATGAAGGTGTGGTAGCCGATGGGCCACAGCAACAGTGGCAACGAGGGAGTGTTGAACTTGATATATACGATAATAAGTGAGTCGTTTGATGTGCATCAGCATAGAAAACGTGATGCAAGTATGGCATTACGTAAGCCAGAGTTCTGCCTGCATTTTTCTGTTCTACTGCAGAACTTTGTGCCTGCATATCTGGCTCTATAGAAGAATGCGTGATTCCTGCGTCACTTCGTGAGGGATGAAAGAGGCATTTGAACAGGTGTGTGTGTGTGTGTGTGTGTGTGTGTGTGTGTGTGTGTGTGTGTGTGTGGGGTAGCAGGCTTGAGCCAGCTATATTACAGTCTCAGGGTGCGGACGGGTGGGAGCCGGCCTGGCTCCACTGCTCATCGGACGCCCGGCCCGCCCACTTCTATGCTACGCCCACAACCAAGGCAGCCCACCCACAAACAGGGCAGGCAGCCCACCAACCGGGCAGGCCGCCCTCTACCCGGCAAACCTGCCGGGTAGTGGGCGCAAGTAGAGGCCGGAGCGGGCTGGGTCTCCTGCCTAAAATAAGTCATGTAAATAAGCCCTGGCCGGCGCATATGCCATGCCATTTATGACATATGGACGCTAAGTCCTTTATAAGCCTTTTATATGATATATTTTAAGATAAAGTACATTTATAAGAGCGCATTTTATTTATCCTCTCATTTAAACACTGTTGACCAGTTTGCTTCCCGCCAGGTGGGAAGAAACCCGCCGTATTACTCAAAATATACAGCAGTCACTGTATGAAAAACCAATAGTCACTGTACTAAAAAAATAATAGTCAATGTATAAAAAACAGTAGAAAATGCACTTAAAACTCACGTGTCACTGCATTTAAAACTTATCACTGCACTTAAAACCAACTTATCACTGCACTTAAAATCCACTTGTCACGCCACTTAAAACCCACTTAAAACCCACTTATCACCATTTTAAATCCACTTGTCACTCCACTTTAAACCCACTTATCACTGCACTTAAGATCCACTTGTCACGCCACTTAAAACCGACTTATCACTGCACTTAAAACCCACTTATCATTGCACTTAAAACCCAGTTATCACTGCACTTAAAACTCACTTATCACTGCACTTAAGACCCAATTGTCACGTCACTTAAAACCCACTTATCACTGCACTTAAAACCCACTTATCATTGCACTTAAAACCCACTTTTCACTGCACTTAAAACCCACTTATCATTGCACTTAAACATACTCATCACTGCAATTGAAACCCACTTGTCACGCCACTTAAAACCCACTTATCACTGCACTTAAAATCCACTTGTCACGCCACTTAAAACCCACTTATCACTGCACTTAAAATCCACTTGTCACACCACTTAAAACCCACTTATCACTGCACTTAAACATACTTATCACTGCACTTAAAACCCATTTATGGTAATAAATGATAATAAAAATAATAATAATAATAATAATATAATATAATAATAATAATAATAATAATTAGTGGTAGTAGAGTATTACTGGGATTCCATATTTCATTTTATAAGTTAAAATAATTTTTAACCTACCTCATCTTATTATAAAACATTGTTGTAAGGTATCCTTCCATCCTCCAGGATGTCACTCATAAGCCTAGTCCTATCTGAGGTATCCTACAATCCTCCAGGATGTCACTCATAAGCCTAGTCCTATCTGAGGTATCCTACAATCCTCCAGGATGTCACTCATAAGCCTAGTCCTATCTGAGGTATCCTACAATCCTCCAGGATGTCACTCATAAGCCTAGTCCTATCTGAGGTATCCTACAATCCTCCAGGATGTCACTCATAAGCCTAGTCTTATCTGAGGTATCCTACAATCCTCCAGGATGTCACTCATAAGCCTAGTCCTATCTGAGCACCTTAACTACTGGGAACGCTTGGAAGCACTTGACTTGTACTCGTTGGAACGCAGGAGGGAGAGATATATCATAATCTACACTTGGAAAATCTTGGAAGGAATGGTCCCAAATCTGCACACAGAAATCACTCCCTACGAAAGTAAAAGACTGGGCAGGCGATGCAAAATGCCCCCAATAAAAAGTAAGGGCGCCATTGGTACACTAAGGGAAAACACCATAAGTGTCCGGGGCCCAAAACTGTTCAACAGCCTCCCATCAAGCATTAGGGGAATTGCCAATAAGTCCCTGGCTGCCTTCAAGAGAGAGCTGGACAGATACCTAAAGTCAGTGCCGGATCAGCCGGGCTGTGGCTCGTACGTTGGACTGCGTGAGGCCAGCAGTAACAGCCTAGTTGATCAGGCGCTGATCCATCGGGAGGCCTGGTCATGGACCGGGCCGCGGGGGCGTTGATCCCCGGAATAACCTCCAGGTACCATCCTCCAGGATGTCACTCATAAGCCTAGTTATATCTGAGGTATCCTTCCATCCTCTAGGATGCTACTCATAAGCCTAGTCCTATCTGAGGTATCCTACCATCCTCCAGGATGTCACTCATAAGCCTAGTCCTATCTGAGGTATCCTACCATCCTCCAGGATGTCACTCATAAGCCTAGTCCTATCTGAGGTATCCTACAATCCTCCAGGATGTCACTCATAAAGCTTATTCCTATCTGAGGTATCCTACCATCCTCCAGGATGTCATTCATAAGCCTAGTTATATCTGAGGTATCCTACCATCCTCCAGGATGTCACTCATAAAGCCTAGTCTTATCTGAGGTATCCTACCATCCTCCAGGATGTTACTCATAAGTCTAGTTATATCTGAGGTATCCTACCATCCTCCAGGATGTCACTCATAAGCCTAGTCCTATCTGAGGTATCCTACCATCCTCCAGGATGTCACTCATAAGCCTAGTCCTATCTGAGGTATCCTACAATCCTCCAGGATGTCACTCATAAAGCCTAGTCTTATCTGAGGTATCCTACCATCCTCCAGGATGTTACTCATAAGTCTAGTTATATCTGAGGTATCCTACCATCCTCAAGGATGCTACACATATGCCTAGTCCTATCTGAGGTATCCTATAATCCTTCAGGATGTCACTCATAAAGCCTTGCCCTATCTGAGGTGTTGCGTCCTCTGATTGGACCCAAGGTTAATAATTAATATTGTGCACATATTTTGTTATTCACTTAATACTGTATTACCGATGGTATTATTATTAGCTAAAAATAATGTCTATTGTGCTTTATCGTATTATCTGCCCTTATAATGTTAGCTATGTTGATAGGTATTACAACCCAGGATTCCAAATGGCCTGTTACCCCGGGTGTAATGGGAGCAAATAAACACAGTAGAAAAAGTTTAGACTTATATTATCCTTCACCAGTTTAGAACAGCAATATGTACACTATGTACAGTGATAAGTATAGTGCACTCCACGGTAAGCAAAGCAGAAATAGAAGCCACAAGATAGCAGACCGTGCTTCAACCAGCTCTAGAATGGGAATGACAAGGGCAGACAGGAGAGCGGTACCCACATAGCCTCTGCGATTGCCAAAACCATCTTCGTATTGGCTAGAACCTGGTCACTAGTTGAACGACGGGGCCCCATCATCAACTCTTAGCAACCTGGTTCGCTGGTTGGGGGAGATAGCCTGTAAATGAGAGTGTGTACATGCGCCGAATAAAGGTTACGTACTCTTTGCATGCCACAGTAGGATGTTTATTTTGAGTGATAGGCGCTACACTGAGTAGCAACCTGGTTCACTGTCGTTAGGTTGTTAGTGTCTGGCGGTCCCTCGCACCGTCAATGTCACGAGGTATTGTAAGTCTTGGAGGAGTAGTCTCAAGTCAGTCCGGGCTTGCATAGCCAAGGGAGCATATTTCACTCAGTTATTCATTAACCTCTCATAAGAGACATGTCAAGTTCTTTCTTGTGGTCGTTTTCCTTTCATACTCGACTCCCTTAAGCTTGTCTCTTTCGAGTTATTTATACACTAGCGAACTAATCTTTCAATAAATAACAAAAAAAAGGCACAATACCGTGAGTGGAACGGTACACAAATAACCCTCACATAAAAGAGAGAATCTTACGACGACGTTTCGGTCCGACTTGAACGTTCACATTTACAAAATCGGACCGAAACGTCGTCGTAAGATTCTCTCTTTTATGTGCGGGTTATTTGTGTATAATTAATCTTTCAGTTGACTGAACAAGCTTTGTTGTCCTTGTGAGTTAATTTGTGGTCTATGCTATTCTAAGTCATGCTGGATGGGAATGAGACTAAGTCCGTCACTTACGAGTTCTTGTATACTCTGACTTGATAGTTCAGCTAAGTCTTTATAAGCATTGTAAGTTACTTTGTGGATAAGTCTTAATAACCATTATAGGTGCATATTATTGGTGAACTTAGTACAAAGCTCGACCTCAAGAGGTTCATTTATTCATATCAATGTATTGGTACGTACCAAGAGAAATGTAAGAGTTAAACTCCTTATTTTATGTTAATCTTAACATTATATCAAACATTAAGCTAAAACTCTACTAGTAAACATTCTGAATTTTATTTTTGTTTTTTTGTTTCGTAATCCTGAATTCTTATTAAAAGTTATTGTTACAAAACCGTTAACAGGTCATATGTTCAACAAGAATGTTACCTTAACACTCTACCATACCATTGGAGAAGGTTAAGAAGATGAGTTTTATAAGAGGTATCCTACAATCCTCCAGGATGCTACACATAAGCTTCGTCTTATCTGGGGTATTCTGCCATCCTCCAGGATGTCACTCATATGCCTAGTCCTATCTGAGGTATCCTACCAGCCTGCAGGATGCCACCCATACAGCCTATTCCTATCTAATGTATCTTGCCATCCTTCAGGATGTCACCCATACCGCCTAATCCTATCTGAGGCATCCTACCATCCTCTAGAATGCCATCCACCAGGCATCTTAGTCCGCTTTGTCTTCTGATCTCATGTAAGTTTATCACGAAGGCGTGTTAAACGTAATGTGGAATCAAACGTCCTCACTGAACCTGATCGGCTAACTCTATCCAGTCCCACATATGATACTCAGAGAGAAGGTGATAACAGGTGATAACAAGAGTGAGTTTCTCACACATGAGGCCCAGTCCCTGGACCCATTATGTACCTCTGTAATCTTTTGACTACCGCCCACAGGATGGGTATGGGGTGCATAATAAAGATATTAAACTAACTTTCTCACACATATTTATATTTTAAGAAAGTTAAATCCGTTTTGTAAGATAGTTTTAGGTACGTGAAAAAAAAAATCACATCCACCTGCTGCCTGTGTACCCCTCAAGGAAGGTTCCTTGATGTTGGTGAGGGGCTCTTGATTTAGGGAATTGGATCTGTGCTCCAGTTCTCCAAATTAAGCCTGAATGCCTTCCACATCCCCCCCCCAGGCGCTGTATAATCCTCCGGGTTTAGCGCTTCCCCCTTGATTGTAATAATAATAATAATAATGCTGCCTGTGTTCATCTATAGTAATATGCAAGTACCAAGAAGGTAGTCAGCTATTGTGGGTCGCATCCTGGAAAAGCGACCACTGGTGGAGACCAGCTAAACATTTACAGTAACCACTGGTAGAGACGAACCATTCACAGTAACCACTAGTGAAAATGAACCAAACACTCACAGTAACCACTGGTGGAGATGAACCACTCACAGTAACCACTGGAGGAGATGAACCACTCACAGTAACCACTGGTGGAGATGAACCACTCACAGTAACCACTGGTGGAGATGAACCACTCACAGTAACCACTGGTGGAGATGAACCACTCACAGTAACCACTGGAGAGAGTTCCGGAGGTCAATGCCCCCCGCGGCCCGGTCTGTGGCCAGGCCTCATGGTGGATCAAGGCCTGATCAACCAAGCTGTTACTGCTGGCTGCACGCAATCCAACGTGCGAGCCACAGCCCGGCTGGTCAGGTACCGACTTTAGGTGCTTGTCCAGTGCCTGCTTGAAGACAGCCAGGGGTATATTGGTAATCCCCCTTATGCATGCTGGGAGGCAGTTGAACAGTCTTGGGCCCCTGACACTAATTGTGTTGTCTCTTAACGTGCTAGTGACACCCCTGCTTTTCACTGGGGGGATGTTGCATCGTCTGCCGAGTCTTTTGCTTTCGTAGTGAGTGATTTTCGTGAGCAAGTTTGGTACTAGTCCCTCTAAAATTTTCCAGGTGTATATAATCATATATCTCCCGCCTGCGTTCCAGGGAGTACAGGGTCAGGAACTTGAAGCGCTCTCAGTAATTGAGGTGTTTTATTTCCGTTATGAGCGCCGTGAAGGTTCTCTGTACATTTTCTAGGTCAGCAATTTCACCTGCCTTGAAAGGTGCTGTTAGTGTGCAGTAATATTCCAGCCTAGATAGAACAAGTGACCTGAAGAGTGTCATCATGGGCTTGGCATCTCTAGTTTTGAAGGTTCTCATTATCTATCCTGT